CAAAAAAAACTCAAGAGAAGTTAAATTAACAATAACTTGTAAGATCATGGATTGTGTTTGGGTTGATTTGGGGTTGATTTAGGGCTGATTTTGGGGCTGATTTGGGGCTGATTTTGGGGCTGATTTTGGGCTAAATTTGAGCATCAAATAAGTATACAAATGTACTTATTATTTGGGCTAAGATTGACATTGAAACCTTGAGTGTTTAATGGTTGAAGTTTGCACACAACATAAGGCAAGTTTGGGCTTGAAATAAATCATATGATATTCTTTTCTAGAATTGGAATAGAATTGATTTTTGGGACAAATTTGGAGCACTTATTTGAACCAAGATTTGCTTCAATCTTCAACTAAATGTCTCTTCAATTCTTTGTTCTGAATTCCGACGTTGAATTTTCTGAATTAATTCATTTAAGCTCCAAAAACCTATCGAAACATTAAAACAAACTTCATTACTAAAAAACACATCAATTATTATAAAAACAACCAAATAAAAATAATAAATACATATGTAAAATAAGAGACTTAATGACACTTTTGATGCACAATCACACAACATTCATATAGTTGTGTTTCCTGTATCAATAGGAGTGTGCTCTTCTCCTCTTTAAGTTATGACTTGTCATTAAAATTTTATGTTAGTGACAAAAGATATCCTCACACACTTATATATATGTTTACACTTAATAATACACCACTTCACTTATGTTTCACTCAAATCTTGCTTTTCATTATAATAGTCTCATCTTTTCTCCTTTTACCTTTTATGCTTTTCTTTTCAATTCTTTAAGAAACTAATCAAAATAATAATAAAAAATATATAGTTCACAATGTCTAACAAAAGCTTTTAAGACATAATATAATCAAGAAAAAACAAAAACAAATGATTATGGGAATCAAAATAGAAAGAGTATGAAATTCAAGAATGACTTTATCAAATTCAACAACAACATATAAACAATATCCTAAAATTAAAATTCTGAAACAACAGACCCCACTAGTGAAATACTGATTTGTAATGTTCTTGTAAACTCGAAATCAAAGTTTTATAGTTTTAACAAACCAAAATCAATTTTCAAGCAAACAATATATACTAATCAAAAACAAACTAATGTGAAAACTAACATGAATTGCAATTTCTTGAGAATCCAAATTCAAATTATAATCTCTATTATTTCAGTAGAAATTGAACTAATGTGATTTCTTCTTTATTTTCTTTTTACTATTTGGCAATGAATATAACTTAACAAAAACTTTTGTCTTTTTTTTTTCTATAGGGCTACCAAAAAATTAAGAATAAAGTTAAAAACAATTATGTAAAAATTTAAAAATAAAATAGATAGTTTAAATATGATTTTAGAGCTTTACTATAATATTAACTAATACGAACCTTAAGGGTAAAAACCCTAAAACCCATGATAAATATAGAAAACAACCTAAATAAACTAAAATCATATTGATAGAAAACTTGACCTAATGATTACTGAAACCAAGGAACTAAATTAATTGGATGAAGGACCCAACCCTTTTATTATAAAGAATCTAGAACCAGAAGTATAAGGATGAATACTATAAAAATAATTAATTTTTAAAAAGTCCTGAAGAACTAAAAGTATTAACAATCATCACACCAACAATATTATTTTTTAATAATAAGCAATGTCTAATAAAACCCTAAAAACAAACTAAATAACTCTATTTATACTAGATAAAATGTTCTAAATGAGGCTAAAAATAACAAAATAGTTATAAATAAAATAGATAAAATAATCCTTAATTAATGAGTTTTTTAGTTTTTTGGGTTTTTTATCACCTTTACTTGGAGCACATGATCTCTTGTTCACCTATAAAGTTTCAATCTTCTCATATGATCAAAAAATTAGAAACTATTTTTTGAAACCTTAAAAATTTAGTTTTCAATTTATTTTCATCTAAAATATCTTTAAAACATTTTAAAACTTCAATAAACGCATTTGTAATCCTAAAACATCCTCTAACTAGTGAAAAAAAACAAAAATCAAGTCTAGCTTAAAAAAAAATAAGGTCCCTATTTCTTTTTCTAACATATTTAAAATGAAAAATCACGTTTATTGAACTTCCTCTTTAAAACAAACTTATTAATACCAAGATTAATTATTTTTTTGGTTGGAATATAGCAAACCAAACCTCTCTCTACTCCTTTTTTTTTTTTCAATTGACTTTTTCTTTCATCTCTCAATATTTTAAGACTAAAATGTGACAAAAAAAAATTAAAACTAAAACATAAAATTTTTAAGTAACGTGAATCAAATATGACTAATTTGAAACTTGAAGGAGCAAATTGAAGTTTTCCAAGCCTTTTTAATAATGAAATTGAAAAGGAGCTTTTCTTTTAATTTGGTCCCTATTTATTCATTTTTTTAATTATATCTTAAAATTCTATTTTACAATATTGATATTTAATTTAATATCAAAATATTAACAAGCATTCCATAAAGCATGAAAAGTGAAACGAATCATAACATGTAAAACAATGTCAATAGATTTCACAATGATTAAATTAAAAAAAATTAAATTCAATGACTAAATTGAAAATTTTCAGAGATTTGAAACTGAAAAAAGACCATGAATAGTAGTGAAACATGTTAAAGTGATATGATGAACAGTACAAGTATAGTGAATTAACGTTTTAACTTGATCAATAAGCATGCTTTTAAAGTAAAATATTTAAAAAGTTAGTGTAGTTTTTTTTTTTAATAACTTTTGAGTCTCTTCTAGTTCTTTTCTCAAAGAAACGGCATCGTTGGCTCATGCCTTTAAGGAAAGTTCGGAAGCTTCGACTCGTCACTCGTCTTCTACTCTACTGAAATACCTTGGCACCCAAACGAACCCGAAAGAGGAGCCGAGATTTTGGGGTGAGAAAATAATGGAAGGAATGGGGTCTCGGATGGGCCGGACTTCATCTCGGTACGGCCTATCAGCGACGGCCACTGTTTTCAATGGCCCGGTCAGGAAGTGGAAGAGGAAGTGGGTCCACGTGTCCCCTTCTCCCACCCTCAATTACCGCAACAATAACCACTCCAACGGCCATAACGACCAAAACAACAACGGGTCTCGCCTCCTCCTCTGTCGGTGGACCCCACTCTCCCCCGCGGCCGCCACCAGCACAACCACCGAGGATCCACCTAAACGCAAATTCCGATATACCCCAGTGAGTAAAACACAACATGGCATCGGCTTTTGTCAGTAAATTTTGTTTAATTTTTCTTCGGTTTTCCACTTGTCGCACTTTGGGTTTTGTAAGAGAAGAGATGGAATGAAGTAAAGTAGGGTGCTGTTTATGTTGGTAGAAATAAGGTTTGAAAATTTGATAATATTTTATTTTATATAATGTTGTAGATTGCTGCACTAAAGGAACGCAGCAAGGAAGAAAAGAAGGCTGAACAAGAAGTTGAGAAGCAGTCGGGAGGGTGGCAAACTGCTAAGAATGGTGAACAAAATGATGAAGATGATTTCAAGAGTGTAGCTCAGGTCCCACCCACTTATTAACATTTGTTACCCTGAACTGATAATAATAATATTCTTGCTTTGTGCCTAACTTCTTGGTCCAATATATAACTAGGAGTCTGTCATCATTTAGGAAATGAAAAAGGCAAATTCATACTTGCGGATCTACAAAAGTGCAAATCTTTTCATGTTCTGCGATTTTTTTGTTTATTTTTTATTTTAGCTTTTGCAAGGACTTAAGATGGTGATTCAAATTGCCATTATGATGTTTAGAGTTCCACTCTCCAGGTGAACTGTTCTAAAAAATGTTCAGATGCCTGATAGTCCCGTGGTCATATCATCTTGGGTTTGCCAAGAGCCTCAAAAAGAGTCTGATTCATGGCAGCAAAATAAATGATATTAGCTCAGGTGAAACGCACAAATATATTTTATATATGAATTCCATATTGGACAGTAAGAATTGGTTTGGCATCCGCTGGGTGACATTTCTTCTTTTATGTTAAGTAGGTTTCTCTGGTTAGTAACTAGCGGCAAATGACTATAAAATTTCACATGAAACTTTTTGACTTGTAATTGAATCGAGAGTTATTTTAATTATTTGCTCATATATATTTGGATATGCGAATGTTTACTTCTTATTTCCATTAGGCAAACAGATCAGCCTTTTCAGGACTTCCTGGGGTAAAATTAATGGAGTTTGAACTTCTATTTGCTGCTATATGCAAAAGAATTCAAGCTATAAAGATGTCAAAGACTTGATCAGCGCCGCCTCACATTTAGGTTGGCACATCACCAGGTCCCAAGAATGCATGCCATCCAATGATCATGAAATGTGTTGTTCTTGGCTGTTTCCATACGCACAGATAGGGATCTTGTTTTAGTGTCTAAGCTTCAATTCGTTGGATTGTTGTCTCTGTGATACTGGTGTCAAGCAAGAATCCACTTCTCCTGCAGGATTCAAACCTGAGCCATTTGGATTTGGGTTTGTGCTTAAAAGGCCGCAACATTGAACTTGATTCTGTGTGCCAGAGCGAGGAGGATCAAGTGAAGAGAGCAAGCTCAGGTGGTTTGTGGGCAATTGGATGACCCAAGAAACAGAAACCTATGAGTTGTGCTCTTGCATGAAAGTCTGAATCGGTTTCTCATTGCAATACCTGAGTAGCTCTTTTGCATTAGATTATGCAACATTGCTTCACATTGTAATTAATTGTAGGCATCTTTTCTAGTTCATCATGCAAGCATTTGCTACCATGATACCCTCATTACCTCCTAACTCCCCAGCTTCTTCACTGTGAACAGTGAAGGAGCTGCCCCTTTTGTTTTTTTTAAAGAAAATCTTTTTTTTTTTTCCTTTCGATTGATTTTTTTTTAAATTTAATTTTTTAATATTATTTTTTTTTCCTTTCGATTGATTTTTTTTAAAATTTAATTTTTTAATATTATATTAATTTTAAATTGATTTTTATAATTTATTTTAATTTATTTTTTATTAACTTAAATAATCTTAAGCAAATATTTTAATATTTGATTGGTGTTTAATTTTTTAAATATTTATTTTTGTTATTATATATATATATATAAAAGTTGTGAAAACCATTAGAATTAATGATTGAGATAGCATGTTTAACGGGTTAAGTAGAAAACCTGAGTTAATTTAATATATTATTATTTTAATATTAAAAAAATATTATTTTAAAATTTAAATTAATTTTTATTATTGATTGTGTTTATGAGTTGACTAAGTTATAGAATAATTATTTTTATTATTGATTGTGTTTATGAGTTGACTAAGTTATAGAATAATAACTTTTATGCACGACTATACAAAAGTTAAAAGTTAAATTGAGAGATTTCATTGTTAACTTGTTAAGTTGGTTATTTTTATTTTTATTTTATTTTTTAATTTAATCTCCTAATTTTTTTTATTAAGATTGAACCTTTTTGTACTTTTTTATTTTTTTTTGAATTTCACCTCTAATATAATTGATTTTTAATTAATTTTTATAATTTATTTTGAATTGTTTTTTATAAAATTATTACAATATAAATATTCACTCAATTTTATAAAAAAATATTTTTATTATCATATTATTTTATAAAGAATAGTTAAAAAAATAATATTGATAAATTATTATAAGATAAGTTCAGCAAATTAAATTTTAAAATTCAAATAAACCTAATATATTATTATTTTAATATTAAAAAAAACATTATTTTAAATTAGAAAATAATATAATAATATTGTTATCAATCATCTAAATTATTCTTTAACTCATTAAATTAACTAAATTATATTAAAACAATTCTCAAAGAAGTTAAGTTCAAACTAAGATTGAACCTTTTTGTACTTTTTTTTTTAATTTCATCTCCAATATAATTTATTTTTTAATTAATTTTTATAATTAATTTTGAATTGTTTTTTATAAAATTATTACAATATAAATATTCACTCAATTTTATAAAAAAATATTTTTATTATCATATTATTTTATAAAGAATAGTTAAAAAATAATAATATTGATAAATTATTATAAGATAAGTTCAGCAAATTAAATTTTAAAATTCAAATAAACCTAATATATTATTATTTTAATATTAAACAAAAAAACATTATTTTAAATTAGAAAATAATATAATAATACTGTTATCAATCATCTAAATTATTCTTTAACTCATTAAATTAACTAAATTATATTAAAACAATTCTCAAACAAGTTAAGTTCAAACTTAGATTAAATGAAAAATAAATTTTTTAATTAATCCACTAAATTAAATTTAATAACACTTGAATACATTTACTTATGTCGGAAGCAACTCAAGCCAATGAGTTTTTCTCTTTATAGCACGTGATAAAGTAGCCCTCTCAGGCCACGATCACAAAATAAGATGGAAGGGTTGACCGCACCTTCCATTGTGCTTTTTTCTTTCAAGTAAAAATCATGTTTTTCTAACCCTTTTTTTTTTTTTAAGGGTATGATTTGTACTTAAAAATTATTATACCTTTAAAAAAAATCACCACACCCCCAAGTTAAAAACCCACTCATTACAACATTTTTATGGATTACAAGAAATGAAATCACAGAAGAAGATGAAGAAGAAGAAGAAACAAAGTAGAAACTGAATATCACATCTCAGTCTTCTTGAAAGAAACAAAATTTTAGAATCTCCTGCATGACATATCTCCGAGCATCAGTGCCTTCCTACTCACTATTTGCTACAGATCCTTCTCAACTGCTCGAGTAACGCCAACTTCAGCTGGCCGAATGACTCTTTCATGTAGCATATATCCTGCCTGTAATATAGAACAGAAGTAACAGTTCAGTATGTAGTAAGCCTTTTCAATTGACACTTTAAATCAAATTATAGTCAAGAACAATTAGCGGGGATATCATAACAGATACATCAGGCTCGGTCATGGAGGAAAGCAAGATACTCTACCAAAAAAAAAACCGGGGGAAAGCTAGGAACAGTAATTTTGATAGTAACTAGCAGCAAGCTGATCACAAGTCAAAATAGCCAGTAACACTGCAGGCAACCAGTTAGTTGAAAAGAAAAGGCAAGTTATATAATTATCACAACACAACAAGAGTTTGAATCTGTGCGCGAGAAACCCACCACGTTCCCTTCCATCCTATAACCCCAAACTGAACCAGCAAGGCAAAGGAAAACAAAATCATATGCCCTAGTTGCCAAAATCACACCAAAAACCAGTAGTCAATCCAGCCTTCACTAATGTAGAATCAAGTCCCGTGAAACACACCCAATCAACAAATCTCACTTGGATACACACACATACATCCTTGAATTGAATCTAACACCCTTGTTAGATTAGAATGAACCCAAGATTTAAACTCATATCCCCATACTGTAGGATGAGCATGCTCAAAACCCAATTGGTTGATAGATATTCAACTAGGTCTTGGAAAAAACACACTGCTTCATTTCAAATTGGGCATGGAGGCAAATCTCTAAATTGCATGATCTTTAAGGATAAAAGCTTTATGTCAGATTAGCCAGATGCAATAAAGAAACTGAAAATACAAAGAAAAGGATCTGTTTCACAATGCTATTTATGCTTCATGTTTGTCTCTACATAGTTCACACATGGTTTCAACATTTCCTAGTTTTGATAAAATGTGTGACAAGGGATGGGAAAAGAGAGATATGAGAGTATTTTTTTTTTCAATTAAAAAGAAAAAAGTTGATACAACAAGGGTAACCAGTTGCTTATATTCTTTTCTAACTTTGCTTACAACATGGTTTTCTCTTAAGGGGCTGTTTGGGAACGCGGTTGAACCTGCGTTCCCAAAAAATTTAAAATTTTTTTATTTTTATTTTTTGTTAAAACTTAATATGGTTTGTACGTTTGGGATCGTTTTGATGTGCTAATGTTAAAAATAATTTTTAAAAAATAAAAAAATATCATTGGCATGTATTTTGACACCAAAAATTATTTGAAAAGCAACCACTATCACACTGTCAAACACACTTTAAGGGCAACTGTTGCTAGCAGCTGTCAATGTGAGTACTGCTAGCATTCTCCAAGAGACAATTGTAATTGCCACAATGGAACAATAACAAAAGGAAACAATGGAAACATTATCACATCCACAACTAAATAGTGTTTTCCGCGTTGATGAAAAAAAAAATCATGTCAACAATAATTTCAGGTTAATGGTTTGTGATGGTGAAGAGCAAAGAGCTTGATTTTATTAAATTATAACCTTGAGAACAGCAGCTACTATCCCTGGAGGCTTAAGAGCATCTGGTACTTCGAATATTGCATTATGCCTGTGCGGATCAAATGGCTCATTTATTGGATCAAATTTTTCTACTCCATACTTCTTAAATACCTGAGATCCAAAAAATCATAAGGTTGTTTGAGCAGTGATTTTTTTTTTCATACTTTGTAGCTTAAATACCAGATGCAAAATGTACAAATAAAGAGAAGGGTGTCAGGCTGAGGTGATAGCTGGCAATTAACAAGAAATGTTACCTCTCCAAGCTGTTTCTCAGTCATTTCAACTCCTTCCAAAAGTGTTTTAAGGAGTGGGACTACATCAGCAGCATCATTTGACACATTGATTTTTGAGAAATTTCCTTTGACAACTGATGAAGCTCTTCCCAAATTGTCTGCCACATCAAGTAGGCTATTTGCAAAATTCTGAGGTACATGTTTTGAGAGTGCATTCAGTTAAAATTCCAGAAACAAAGAATAACCAAGTAATTAACAATCCACATTTCCTAAAGGAAAGAAAGAAAGAAAAACATGCTGTCATTTGGCGAAGCTGACCTGGATAGCAAACTTTTTAGAGTTCTCTGCTTCACGTTTTGTTCTTTCCTTAACATTTTCCATTTCTGCATATGTGCGGAGAACTTTATCTTGCATCGTCTCCATCTCCTTGTGCTTTTCCTTCAAGAGCTCCTCCTTCTCCATCACAAGCTTCACCAGATCATCCATTGACAGATCGCCCACAGCCTCTGCATCTGAATCAGAAAATGCAGTTCGTTTAACACCTCTCCTCCTTTTAACAGATTATAAAATGGTTTGATGGGATTCTAAGTTAAAACCTGACTCTTTGGTCTCTTGCGAAACTGAAACTTTTGTCGGATCAGAAAGCTTTGCACTTCCATTTGTTTCTTCTGACTTTACATCAGTGGGAGCACCATCGTTTTCTACAGCACTCCCGTGCTCCTTTTCTCCAGGCTCAGGAGATGCAGATGAAGTGAACCCAAAATTTTGAAAAAGGGAGGAATTGAGGACTGAATGATGAAACAGACAAACCTTACTTGTAATCCACTGAAAGAAAAATTCAAAAGGGGAACCCGAACTTGTCAAGAAGAGATCAAATATTAAAAACCCATTCAAGTATTTGAAATGAATAGAAGTCAAATCCAAGGATTTGCACTATGGCAGAAATATTGGTGGGCACTTAAATAGATAAGAGGAGCTAACGAGCTTGTGCATGCTACTTGGAAATCATAAAACAACGATAACTAAAAGGAACCATAATTTTGACATAGAAAAGAGAACACAAACTTGACTTCCCCTCCAGAAGCTGAACCCAAAAACCTTCCAATGGCACCAATACAATAAACACATCTAGCTTATTTTGCATGCCATGGACATGTGATCAAATGTTTTAATTCAAAGGAATACAGGTTAATCCAACAGCATAAATGGAAAGCCATTATTATTACACTTCATTTGAAACCCCAAAATGTTGATAGAAAAGCAATCAATTCATTCAAGTCACTGCTTTTGAATTGCTCTCTCTCTCAGTAACCTATTAGAATTTGCATATTTCAAGCAAAGGACACATAAATGCAATCTAACATAGAAAATTAGTCAAATAATGATTTCAAAACTAAATGATGCCCCAAACACTCGCACTTAAATGATCATAAAATTTTCAAGATTCTTAAACCCCTGCTATGAAACCAGACACAAAAATAACAATTCAAGAAAGAAAGAAAAAATCCTCAAAACCGTTCCAAAACCTTCAACGAAAACAACGGATAAAAAAGAAAAAAGAAAACTCGAATCAAACCCTAGTAAAACCCTGCGCGAGAATTTAAAACCAAGAATCTGAGAGCTTTTGGGTGATAAACGAACGCAGCACCTTGTTAGGATATTCATGAAACTGATTAGAGGGAATCAGCAACAGGTGGTGATTCTGGGACGGAGAGCATAGATGCAGAGAGCGTTGGCCCCCGCTCCTCGAAAGGCGTGACAACATCCTGGTCATTAACATGGTTGGTTGATTACAAGGACGGGTATGAGAAATTATTACAAGGAGGCAAATAGAAATAAAAATGAGAGTATAAAAGGGAGGATTACGAAGCGGAGAGGAGAAATAGCAAGAGAAATGCGTGAAGGGGAAGAAAAGTTGTTCTTAACGCGCTGGAGACTGAAGGGGTTCTAGGGCAGCGGCAGGTTTTCTCTTGGGCAACTGTAGCGGTTATTTTTTAATTTAAAACATATTAAAATATTTTTTTATTTTTATTAATACATTGTGAAAATATTAAAAATTTAATAAAAAACTTAATTTTAAAAAAAAATACTTTTAAAAATGAAAAATAAAGAAAATTTAATAAAAAACTTAATTTTTTAAAAAAATACTTTTAAAAATGAAAAATAAAAATCCTCATCTTTTAAAGCAATATTGATATAGATCCTTAATCTGTATTCCCTCTTAATTACATTACTAACTTATCAACATTTTTTTTTATCAATTACTTCCCTTCATTTTCTTTACTTCCTCTTTCCTTTTTATTTTAGCTGAAATGTAATTTTTGTTATTTTTAAAGTATTATTTATAAAAAAATATATTAAAATAATTTTTTTATTTTTAATAATTTATTTTTGATAATTATTCATTAAAATAATCTAAAAATATCAAAAAATAATTTAAAATTTTTTAAAACAGGATTGGATTACATTAGAATAGAAGCAAAATATGAAACACCCATACAAATAAAAGATTCCCAGATTTTATCCCTCGAATAATTCCAATTTTTCTATTAATGAAGGTAAGGGTTTTAAAGAATACAAGTAGAGGAAAGATTGCACATCGCGTTTCCATCAAGAGGACCGTTGTTTTCTTCCAGATGATCATCGTCCCTACATGAAAACCAAGTCAAGGATATTTCATTGGATTCTTACCCTTCGCCAGCTCTCACCGAACTGTCTTTTGAGAAAAGGTAGAGAAGAAGCTACAGAGGGCTGCTTATGTGCCCAGAGAAATGGTTGCTTAATTGCTTGGGTGCCCAAATGTTCAAGATTTGTTAGATGTGAGATTTCTTAACTGCAGCTTTTTAATTCGGTTTGTTCTTTTGAAAAAGGCTATTTATGCCATCTCTTCATACCGACGCAATTTAGTTTCTTGCTGGATTCCGGTATCGGAAGAGCCTTACAAAAATAATAGCAGTAGAGAAAAAACCAGCCAATCAAAGCGCCTTAATGTTCATTACGATCACCGGAGCGTGATCATGAAGAGTAATCAAGTGTGATGAAGATTGGTATTTTGAACCACTAGAGAATGGGATCTTGAATGATGCACAAACGAGAGTCATAGAAGACCGGAGAAAATACTTTACAAGAACATTGACAACTGCAAACAAGACGCGATTCATGGCGAGGGGATGAGTGATGTCACTGTCATTGAGAAAATCCTTCGCTCAATGACTCCTAAATTTGACTACGCAGTGTTCTCCATTGAAGGATCTAGAGATCTTGACAACCAGCCGCTTGATGAGCTATACAACTAATTAGATACGTCACAGGTCAAATTTTTTAAAATTAAAAAAAAAATCAAAGATAATCATAAAGTTTATAGAAGGATAAGAAAAATATATTAATGGAAAATTAATTTGAATAAGTTTAATAATTTTAATTAATTTAATAATATGATTAAAATAACAACAATAATAATAATAATAAATTTTAAAAAAGCAAACGAACTAATAAAAACAAATGAAAACTTATTAAAATTATGAAAATATACCTTTTAAATATTCATAAAAGATCTAGTAATCTTATTTGAAAACAAAAATTAATAAGAATGTGATAATCTAATAAAAACAAATGAAAACTTACTAAAATTATGAAAATATACCCTTTAAATATTTATAAAAGATCTAGTAATCTTATTCGAAAACAAAAATTAATAAGAATGTGATAATCTTGTATGTAGAAAAATGAAAGAAATTTAAAACTTAATTACTAGTAGAGCAAATGTTGAAGGACAAACTAAAAATATAATTTAAAAAAAACTTGACTCGAGTTATTATACCAAATTTACAATCTAATTATGAGATCAGAATAACTTTACATAAAAAAAATTAAATAAAATAATAGAGATCAACTTTTATGCAAAATAACTAATAAAAGAAAAAATTAAAAAAAAATATAATAAATAATTTAAGTCAATTTGAATTAACTCGATTAGTATGTGACCTATGATATGAGATCGATCGGGATAATCCCATAAAAAATATAAAAAATCATGAAGCTCAATGCCTAATAACCTAATGTTAAATGGTGAAATTAAAAAAAAAAATTGTTTTTAAACAATCCTAAAAAATATGAAAGTTAAATTTGATTAATTTTTAAAACCTATAATATGGTCATGAGATCAGGATTATCTTATCAAAGATAATAACAAAACAAAAAATCACAAAACAAAATTCATAACCATCCATAATTAAAAAAAAATATATAAATTAAAACAATGAATATCAAATTTGGTATAAAAACTAAATTGAAGAACAAATATAAATTAAAACAATGAAGATCAAATTTGGTATAAAAACTAAATTGAAGAAAATCAAGATGGACTAAAATAAAAAATAAAATAAAATGATAAAATGATAAAACAAAAATAGATAGTAATTAAAAGAATAAGTAAAAAATATGGATATAAAAATTAAATAAAATAAAATGCTAATGGATTGAAATTCAAGAAAATGATAAAAACAAAAAAAAGATCAAAATAATGAGAACCAAATTGAATACAAAAATTAAATGAAATAAATTGTTGAGAGATGAAATTAAAAAAATTAACTTTAAAAGGCATTAAAAACAAAACAAATAGTAATCAAAAAAATAAGAATCAAAATTAATACAAATACAAAGTAATAAAACATATTTGATTTTTAAAAGGTCTGCCATGAAATCCAAGACTAAGAGAGAGAAAATGGAAGAAAAAGAAAAACAAATCTAGCAAAGTCAATAGTTGCTTTGTCATATACATATACCTGATCACCATGAAGAGGATGGTGTAACACTTTTAATGCTTTTATGGATGGCAAAGTTTGACCATTGCGAAGTATCACATGTGTCGCTCAAAGAATGCAAGTGCCTTCCCTTTGTCAGTACATATGCAGCACATGCTAGCCATTTTAATTTTTTTTAATTATGTTTAGATTTGTTAAAAACTAAATTACTCCACAATTACTCCTCATTCAAATCGATTATAACTAAAAAACCAAATTAAAAATACAAACAAAAAACATGCACATAAACTAACTTTTTAATTTAAAGGCGAGATTATCATTTCAATGTTTTTAAATAAAGGAAAGAGAAAAAAATCCAAGGATGCTAGTTTAATTTTCTTTTCTTTTTTTACTTTTAAGAGTAATTAAGTAATTAAATTGTGCTAAAAATATGAAAAAATTAATTTGTCCAAATCAACTTGGTAATAACCAATGAATCATATGAAAAAGATCATTTTACCTGATCAATAAGGTTATTAGTTTTCCTTTTAGTTTTCTTTTAGAAAAGCAAAAACACTAAAACATTATTATGCTACATGGTATTTTATGTCTTGTGTTACAATGCTTTCTTAATGCCTTTTAGGTTTTTGTTAATTATTGGTCCATAAGTAAAGGATGATGAGTCTTGTTGAGGAGGAGCAAGCTTTGAAGGTCACCACTCCTAGAGAAGCATCTTTAAGAAGAGGCAAAGGATGTGATGGATTTTAAAGACAAGGAAGAGGTAGAGGATAACAATAAAAAGCATCAACTGACATGGTAAGTATAGACTAACACTTTTAAGATAATTAAGGTCTCAACATGCCTTAAAAAAGGAAAGTCATGAAAGAGGACCTTTTTAAATTCTCCCCCATGTAAATTAATAGTGATCTAGGGTTGATTGAATGTTGTTAAACTCTTAAAAATAAGTAACTATCCATGTTTAGATCTACTTCAAAACTCTATAAACATTAGCTTTATAATAGCCCAGCCTAATTTGTCGTATATTGTTCGCTTTGGGCCTTACCGCCCTCTGTCGTATATTGTTCGCTTTGGGCCTTATTGCCCTCATGATTTTGTTCTTGGTGATGCGAGCCCACTTCTAAGCTTGACACCCTAAAGTACATACAATAGATCAGTGACCAACACTACTTATAAAGCCCTGGCTCTGGATGCTCACTTTCGATATGGGATATCACAATCCCCCCACCTTAAGACAAGTTGTCCTCAAATCTAATACCAAATATAATAGCCCGACCTAACCTATCATATATTATCCGTTGTGGGCCTTACCTCCTTCACGATTTTATTCTTAGTGACGTGAGCTCACTTCTGAGCCTGACATCCCACAATGCATATGATAAGTTAGCAACCAGCACTACTCATAAAACCCTAGCTCTGGACGCTCACTTTTGATGTGGGATATCACAATCCCCCCCCACCTTAAGACGAGTCATCCTTAGCTCTGATACCAAATGTAATAGTCTAGCCCAACCTATGTGACACGACCAAAAGATTGATGTTTTCTCCTAGGTGTAAGAGTGTCGAAGTAATAAATAACCTAGCAAGACCGGGGTTAAACTATAAGGAGGTTAATTGTATAAATTATAAACAATAAAAATAACAACAATACTAATAGCAATAGCAATATCAATAATAGTAGTAGTAGTTGACACGACGAAAAGATTGATGTCTTCTCCCGAGTGCAGGAGTGTCGAAGTAATAAATAACCCGGCAAGACCGGGGTCGAACCACAGGGAGGTTAATTGTACAAATTATAAACAACAATTATAAAACAACAATAACAACAACAGTA